GCCAGGCTTTATATAAACAACTTAAGTGAATGTTTGCTTTTATTTTTTTTTAAGTGGAAGAAAAAATCACAATATTGATTAAAACATATTTAGATATAATCTAAGAAAAATCGAGAGAATTGGGTTAGCTGTTTTGAAAATATAAAGTAAGTCAGTAAAATGTTATTTTAGGAAAGTAAAAATGCGCTGCCTTCCCAACTAGATACGTGTTTCTTGACTGAAGTTTTAACACAGAGCGGTAGCAACTACCTGGAAAAAATAACATTGTCTATAGTTTTAGACATGCAGCTTGTCTTTAAAATTGTTTGGAATTAGTGTACTAAATGTCATCAAAGACATTTCAAAAAGTTTTAGGAAGGAAGGAAGAAGAGAAAGAGAAAAAGAGAGAGAAAGACAAGACAGAAGAGAGAGAGAGATTGAGAGAGAGAGAGAGATTTTTCTCCTACAAATCAGATGCAGACTCTCTCTTTTATGGGCTAGGAGAGTAATCGTTTCATGTTGATTGGAAATAAGAGAAAGGGCTGACATGCTTTCGCATTTTAAACAGTAATTAAAACATAAATTGCAACTAATTCCAGTAAAGTTTATTTTATTTTTATCTAAAGGGTTCTGCTTTGTTTTTCCAAGGACTGTTATGAGCACGAGTCACTGCCTCTCAGGGCCTGGCAAACCCTCCAGTTATGGCCCTTTCTCCTTCCCTCCCTTGCTGTTCTCTTTCTTTTTTATCGTCTGCTCTAGCTTTTTCCTTTAATTGGTACTAATATAAAACAAGTATATCATGTTTTCTGCTTCTAATTTGAAGCATGGATGAAGAGTAGACTTTTTCTTCCCTTTTAAAACAAAAAATAACGAACAGTACCCTAAGTCAACATCTTGTGTAGTTCTGGGTTTTTATTAGGGTGAATGAGTGACCTTCAATTACCAAAAGAGAAAACTGTTTTCCTCTACTAAAGATGAACCAGGAAGACTACTGTGAGGAACTGAATTAAGAAGTAGAAAGATGTTTTTAATACATAATATTTTTTTATAGAACATTAGTTCCTCTAGGAATGGTTTCTGGGTTAGGTGGAGTAAAGCTAGTGATTTCTAGTGTCCCCAACTCTATATAAAAGTCTTTGTGAGCCACTTAATGCTGTATTTTCTAGGTAGCTCTGGGCTTGCTTTAATTTAACTGCAGAATTTCCCATCTTGTTTTTACCAATTAGAATTTTAGTCTTAGCCCCATTCATTTCTTTGCTGATGGAAAAGCCAAAGGCCAACGTTTTTATTAAAGGTCACTGATAAGACCTGAGAAAGTCAGTCATGCAAATAAGCCTCAATACCAGTCCATGTCTGTTTTCTTCAAAAATGTATTGATCATTTACTATGTGCAAGATACAATGTGAAGTCCTAGATTGTATAAAGAAATATCAGCGAAAAGAATGTTTGCTTCCCTGAGCAAACTATGTGATGTTTATTTCCCTTAGTCATGGGGACTTTCCCCATTTCAGTGGATAGTTCTGGGAATCATAAGTAAGTAATGTCTAAATTTAAAGACTAAGAATTCTTTAATATGAATTCAAGGATGGGGCAAATTTCATGGTGTCTTATGTGCAGGAGTAAAGTCTTGTTAGTCTTATCTGCCTTATTTAGCCATTGTCTTTCTGACATATGATTAATTTAGTTCAAAACTATTCATTGCATGTTTACTTATATTTCAACATGAATATCACACAATTTTCTTCCTAAATATAGTGTATCTAAAACTAGAAATGTTATTCTTTGATTTTTTAAAATGCTACTGGTTTCATAGGCCAAACAATGACAACTACTGGTATCATAGTCTTCTAATGGGCTATTTTGAGTGGTGGCAATTCGCTAGTGACACTCTGAAGCAAGCAAGTGTTAACCCTGCGTCTCACCGGTAGTACTGCGCTCCATCAGCTTTTGGAACAAATCTGTGATGCAGCACTAATGTGTCCTGCATTGTGAAGATGTGAAACTCAGGATGAGAGAAATGAAAATCACTTGTTCCCCGCTACAAAGGAAGTAGGTGGCAAGAGTGGCCCCGTTTTGCCTGTTTGGAAAACACAGGCTCCTGTTATGACATCTGGACACATAAGAGGTTGGGCCATGCCACATGGGAGTCTGACTTGAGGAAGATTTCTCATGTTTTATCTATGGCCTGAGAATGGATAATCACAAGAAAGTAGCTTGATTTCTTCAGGTCAGATAATCCATTTTTAAAGGTGATCTAAACCAAACAAAATGACTAAGCCAAAGACCAGGAGGAATCTTGGCAAAGCTTGTTAATTACTTGGTAAACCAATAATATTGGGTGTGAGACTAGGTAATCTCTTCATGGCTTAAGGCTCACAGTTGCTGCCTGGGGAAATTCTACCCACCATTGAAGCTTTGTGGCAATGACAGCATCACTGGGGAATCTTCTGTTATTATGAGTGAGAATGAACCCTCTGCCATGGTTTTTCGCAGCTCCACAATAGCATGGTGTTTTGTTTTGCTTGATTTGTCTGTTTGTCTTGTTTTAGCTGTACATTACTATGATATTGCAGAAGTGTTGGATGACTACCTCAGTGTATCTGTGTGCCTCACTGACTGATACAGCCTAATGAGGAGATTAGGAGATGATTACCATTTATTGAGCAGCTCCTAAATGCCAGGTATTGGGTAAGTCTACTCAATATCATCATCCATCATTAAAAACATGATGAAAAACAAACTAAGCTTACTTAAAAGCAGAGCTGATATTAATAGGTGATACCTTAGTTACTCCTCTTGCTGCTGAAACAAAATACCTGGCATCTAAAGTTAGGGGAAAGGTTTATTTAGCTTACAGTTTGTAGAGCTTCCGTATTTTGTTCATTTGTTTGGTTTTTGAGGTAGGGTCTTTCTGTATAGTTCTGGTTGGCCTTGAAGTCACTATGTAGCCCAGGTGCTGGGATTACAGGCATGTGCCACCCGATCTGGCCCTTAATAAGTCAATTCTAATGCATGGTTTTCTGCTTACATTAAGAGCTGAGTAAAGGAGTGGTCTGATTAGAGATTCCCAGTCAAACACCTTACAATTATTGGTACCATCTGGCGCGGAACCTTGTTTTCTTTGGAAGCCCCACTATTGCCTCATTAGTTTCAGTGAATATTTATTCACTTAAATCTCAGATTCTTTCATATAAAGAAGCTTTGTTATGGAATTGACCAGAGCTTTACTCATATCTTTGCAAAATTAAAACTTGTTTGAGGAGATTTGAGGTGAAATTCCAAGAAAACATAGCTCTCTTTCTGACAACCTGTTTTGGCATGCAATATAAATGTGATACTTTTTAGCATTATCTCCTTCAGAAATATAATGCCCATAGGTAATTTTGGTTTATTGCATGCAAAATCAAAACAGATCATTTAATCAGAAGAGTCTTAACCACAATAGTTTTTAATTTGCAGAAATGGTGGTCACCCAAATGTTATTAGAATGTTACTCCATACCCCTGTAATTAGTTTCATTTTCAGAAATATTGAAATAAAGAATTTGCAAAGAATTCACATGAAAATAGTGCCTAGGTTTGGCTCAGAGAAATAAATACATTTAAGCAAGCTAGGAAGGAGGTAATGAGAAAGTGAATGATTTTAATTTTGCAAGAATTGCAACAGGAAATGCAAAATTTTTAAGCAAAGGAGGAGAAAATTAGATCTACCTTTGATCTGAATCTTTAACTTATGATTTGTGGTTAGAACTGAATGAAGGAGATACAACTGCTAAAACCAGACAGGGCAGAAATAAAGCAAAGTGAATGCACCGGGGAGACTTTAGGAGGTATAGGAAAAGATTTTATGAAGGCAAAGGAAAAACAATGAAGATGAGTAACTATGGAAGAAACCCAGATTTAGTTTTGGAAGAGGAGATATAATAATGAATTTGTTTGTAACACATTGGCTTTGGGATACTTTTGAGATGATATATTTTAAAAATCCTAACAAAAAATACAAACATGCCTTTTGACCAACCTCACCCCAGGGTCCTAACACACTGGAATAGTATTGTAAAAAATGTATTGTAAAAACTGTAAAAAGTATTGTAAAATATGAGAAAATTAAAGGCTAAGAATGTTCCATTTTTTATGAGTGGAAAAAGTGGAAATCAAGTTAATGTTTAAGAATTGTGGCTTTATGTAATAAAGTTTTAAAAATCTATTAAACATAGTATCATTTCTCCACTTACGTGGTTGTTTTAAAAACTGGTAACACCTAAGATTATATAATGTTATATAAAGAACAGTTGAAATACACTGTACTTAAAATTATAGCAATACCTATGAAATAAGAAATTGCTTGATAAGTGTTACATTTATAGTGTTTATATGTTTATTATAGTGTTTATATGTCATAATGTATAATGTTTATACATTATAGTGTTTATATGTTTATTTAAAAATTAGTAACATGCTTATAGTATTTATTTTTTAATTGTAAATTTAAGTGCAAGTATTTTTTTTTCAGAACTTTAGTTTGTCAGCTTGTTTATTCGTTAACAGACTAATACGAAAATATAAATGGTACAATTAATGGGGCAGCATTAAAAATAGCTTAACTATAGCATATTTAAATTTTATTTCAATAGATATTGAGTGCTATTATTCATGCCAAATTCTAGTTCATGTCATGCACACATATAATGATATGAAAATTGACCAAGAAATTCAATACTCAAAAATAAGGCCTACAATAGTTGCCAGTTTTTTAAAAGAAAAATAGAGTTGAGTTTTATTTGATATTGGGGCTTCCTTCTTATTCCCTTAATTCATTCTTATATGACTACTGATTTTGTAAAATTAGGGTTATTTCATCAATCTCCTCTCAACATATTTACAAAGCTAAAATAAAGTTAATTCATTTCAACTTAAATAATTGAAACATTATGTCATCTTTGCATATTTCATCAGAAAATGACATAAGCAGGCATTACCAGGAATAATTTGTACAATTTAAAATAATTTTAGTGTACTTACTTGAAGTAAAAGAATATGCCCAGTGAGATAACCAGCGATGTGATAGATAATCCATGTCCAATTATAGTCAGGTAAAATAAATTTAGCGCAGTCTGCAATTTGCATCAATAAATAAAATTAGACTCTTAAAAATACTACACATTATCTTTTAGCTGACATGGATAAGACCTAAAATTGAATTGAAAATATGCTGATTTTACAAACATCTGAATGGATAGCCTTACAATGATTTCCTTAAAGTCAATAAGTACTTGAATATAATTTGAATGAAGGACATCAAACTTGATAAACCATATATCTTTTAAGAAATTAGAGTCACACATTAAATCTGTGAAGCACTGCTTATTGGTCTAGGTTATATGGAGCTAGAACTTATAAACTCTAGGACTCCTGGATAACATGTGTTGCTCCGTGGTAAATGCCAGCTAGGGCTCTCTCCAATGGATTTCCCTTTTTCCTTTGACAAATTTGAAGCCCATATGCAGGTCTTTAAAAAAATCCTATAGTCTTTACAAATGTTTTATCTTTTCCTTCTTTTTACTTTTTCTTTTTCTGTTTTATGGTGTGTAACCTACCATTTTGTGGTATATTTTTATAATTCTCTTCCCATACTTTCTGAATAAAGAAGGAATATATAATTTATTAAAAAATAACTGGGAGTTATCAAGATGTTACTGTAGCTGATCTTTTTGTTTCTCTTGCATTACCCAAAATTCTTCTGAAAGATAGTCATTCTGAAATCTACTGCCATTCCATTTGGTACATGCATGGACCAAGCCAAATGTCTTGCCCAAGGTCACATAGTGGGGACAAAGCAGAAACGGGAAATCATATTCCAGGACTCAGTTTTAATCACTGAGATAAATTGCCTGAATGCACACACACAAGTGCAAAAGCACACAAGTTGTCCGTGAAGCTGTATTATAGTGATCAACTCTATTGCCTGGTGTCCAAAGAGGGAACATGCCAGAGCGACCTGACGCCCAGTCAGAATGAAAGCTTTCTCCTGAGGGACAGATAGTACCTTTTGAGCCCTACTGAGCTTATCCTGTTTATTTAAGCACAGTTTCTGAGGTAATTCTAGACTCCTCCACAGGGGAAAGTTACCCCTTTTCTTACACTCGTAGGTATGTTTTCTTTGGAAAATCTGAAACCCCAGTCCTGAGACATTGACTTGTAAATACCCTGTTACTTAACAGACGGCTTCCTCCCTATAATGATGGAATCAGTCATAATTCTTTCCACAGATATTTTTCTTCATTGTTCTTCTCAAATTATATAACGAAAACGTTTTGTAACAGAATGGAAACTGCCCAAATTTTGTATGCTACCGCATTAGACAACTCTTTCCTACAACATATCATGTAAATTTTCATTTATTGAGGATGACACACCTTCACTTTTTCAGGCGTGTTAACATTACACTGGGTATAGTTTGTCCACGTTCTGTTGCTTTCTGGATGTCTAAACCAGTTTCCGTCTTTATTACAGATCTTTGTCACTTTCTCTGTAAAACAATAAAGACAACCATAAGTTGGTGAGCCTAGGGCTTGTTAGATACATGTCACTGGGATTTGCATGTAAGTTTCTGCTTTCACCTGAAGGATCAAAGTCTTGAAAGTAATCCGGGCAGTGCTGCATGGATTCGGTTCCTGCTGCCACATCATTCCAGCACAGCCAGCCGTCCCACGTTCTGTTGCAGTAAATGCCTGAGGACGAAAGGAAAGTGTCAGGCAACCCGCTGGGCCCACCGTATAGGAAGACAGAGTTTAAGGGTGGCTTCTCACTGACGCGGAATAAAGCCTGTCTACTGAAAACAAAGGTATTTCTAGCTCCTCTTCTTCTCTCACGTCAAGTAGAATGCTTCACAGCCTCACACATTTCTCCAATGTTAAGACAAATAACCTTCTACATTAAAATGTAAGTGAAGTAATGCAGACACACAAACTTAAATATTGCATGGTATCTTGTATACGAAAAACTTGCATTATGGGTATGATGGATAATAGAAAATGAGAGAAAAATTATATTTTAACCTAGCATGGCAAATGTATCGAAATGTGTATCTTGATTCAGTACAGTTGTCTTACATATTCTATGTAATTGATCTGTTCATCTGTTTTTTGTTTGTTTGTTTGTTTTGTTGTTATTCTGAGGATTGAGCTCATGACCTAGTGCTTGTGAAGCAGGCGCTTATGGCCCTGAGCTAAATCTTCAGCTTCGTCTGGTTGTTAATTTGTATATATGGTAATTAATTTTATAAGGTTGTAATATAAATAAACAAATACAATGTTGCAAAAAAGGAGGATGGAGGGAAGAATAAAAGAAGGGAAATGTGCTATGTACGTGTACCAAATCCCTACAGAGAATGTAACTATTATGTACTGTTAACATGTACTACTAAAAATTCAAAAAGCTTTTTTAACATAAAATATATAGCTTTTCAAAGGCAGAGAGAAACTAACTGATCACTGTTGCAATATTTTAAGCCTGTGATCGAAGAAGGTAACTTTATAATATTTTTAAAATTAGATTCCTAGGGGCTGGGGATTTAGCTCAGTGGCATAAGTGCCTGTCTGGCATGTGAGGTTGTGGGTTCAAATCCTGATACAAAAAAAAAAAATAGAATCCTGAATGCTACTTGAAATATGTATTAATTTTAACAGATTGATATAGAAAAATTAAACTAGCCCTCCCTCTTAAAATAGAAAAAATCTTCATGGCTTGAAACTCTAAATGATCACAATTTTTCAAAAAGCACAGATACAATTTTCTCTCTCTTGTGGCTTTTAAACATTGTTTAAGTAATTTGTAAATACATAATACTTAGTAAAATAAATTTTGTGGTTTAGCAGAAAAATTTTCTTCAAATAGTTTTAGAAAAGGTGGTGAATGTAGTCACTGTTGGAAAAGTCTATCTAATAACTTCAACTCTGGCAGCATAACAGATTGTAAAGCACAGTGTATTTCAAATGGTGTTTTATGACCTCTGGAGAAATGAGTAGGATTACATTTAAAAAGATAATGTGGTCAAATGGATTTCAGGAAAACATAATTACATAAATATTTTACTTTGAAACCCTTTAAAGACTTTCTTATTTTTCAACACCATTTAAAAATTATCTATTACACATATCTATTACATATTACGTGTATCTAGAAGAGATTAACTCAACACTTTATATTGCCATTTAGATTTTAACAGAATAGAGTGCAAAACATCAGTTAACATAGAGTATGTTTACAAGTATTTTAATTAATTTAAGTCAACTCTTGTTGACTAAGTTAGATAACTTATCATCTTTTGGCCTATTTTATTCTTTTTCATGACTAATAGAACAAAAATACCGATAGACTTATTAATACTTCTCCAAAGGTCTCCAGTTACATGGTTTAGCTAAATTGAGTCTAAATTTTCTCAATGTAAGAAAATTTGTTTACTTCTTTTATAACCAAAGTCATTTTGATATTTGTGAATGTTAATATTCTAACATTGCATTTATACACAGTTTGTTAAAATATCAATTACTTTTTCAAATATTGTAAGGTTTTTTTTCCTCTGATGTTTTAAAAATCAGATCTAAAGAGTCTCTATTTTGCTTTGTTTCACTGTGGATATTATGGTTTATATTTTGAAAATAACACTTTTTTAGAGTTGCCAGATAAAATAGAGGAATTGTTTTTGCTAGTTAAGGCACCTCTGCTCATGTTACTTATCTTTATATCCTCAAAATCTAAGCACATACCAGGTCCAAGTAGTTCCTCCATGAGAGTTAGTATGAAGAAAAATAAAGAATATATTAACAGAGCCAGAAACACTCGGAGTTCATTAGCTCTGCTATCAAATGAACTGTAAAAATGTGTATCATTAAAAATAACCCTACATACAGATCATTTTATTTTATAAATCCCTATCAGGTACCAATAAAAATAAATCTAAATTAAATGAGTTGGAGGTCAGCCATCACTGATTCAATGTGAGACTTGTTTCTTTGTACAAATAATACCATTTGTTGTGTTTAACATCTTTAAACCGTAGATATTACTCTTAAAAGACCATAATGCAATTTATTAATTTCCCTAAGATAACTGCAGTAAATCATGTCATAAGTTATTTCCATAAATCAGTAATAATTAAAACTGTACATGTGTCAGAAATCTAGCAACTATTTCATTTTTAAGCAGAGGCCAAAGTAGCATAAAAGTAATTTTCTTTTAAAAACATGTCAAACGCATTTGGAATTAGTCACCGTTACCTTCTATTTGTTGAACGGGGTCTTGCATAATTTTTTGATAGCATTCATACTGAGCAGTCATGATTTTATTTCGAGTCACCCTCAAGTGCATTGTGTCATTAGACTGTTCTTCTGGTTCTGCTGTAGCGAGACACTAAGAGAGTAAAACAACTTCAGAATTATGCAAATACATTGCTAGAGTTCCTCACTGTGGAAAACAGAAAATGCAGGGTTCGCTGAATGGAAAACCAACTCCCTGAGAAGAACCCCTGAGCTGGAGATTTGCACAGTCTTAAGTGCTCCCACCGTGTTTAGTTCAAACAGGCAAAGCAGGGAAGCACCCTCAGCTCCCAGAGCCTCTCCTGTGGCTGCTGGCTTCCAGACAACTTAAATATGCATCCTGAAATACAGAGCTCTGTTCCAAATTTCCTCGATGTTTTTGCCTGCTCGGTAAGTGTAGGCAAGCTGCTTTGCCCCTGCCAGCAAGCCTGTGCTTTCTTACTCTAAAACGTTACACAACAGCATCAAGGTAACTAGTACGTGGAAAATGCTACAAATCCTTGCGAACTGTTACTGTTATTAAAATAGCAGCAACTTTTTACAGTCTCGGTGAAGAGTGTACTCATAGAGTGTACTTGGAGAAAGAGTTAAACAAGTTGTAAACAAATATATTCTGATTTAGTAGCAATAGTTTTGTTTCAGTTCTTCATTATTTACATTAGCTGTGTGCTGAATGACATGAAGCTAGTATTAATGTTTTTCAATCTATTTCTCACATTATTCGTGTTCGTTGTCCCCCATAAGCAGTTACCTTCCTCTTCTTCCTTTATCCTCCCATTCATGATTTTCTGTTTTCCAGCAGGGAGTTAAAAATGAGTGAAATTAAAATAATAATATTCCCCCCACAGTTATTTTCCCTATCACCTGATTACTGTTTCACAGTAACTCTTTCACACTTTGGTTTTAATTTCCTAAAATGATTTCTGTTATAGATTGCTACTGTCCAAATAATGACGGATATTTAGACCATTAACCAAGACAGGAGATTCACATTTTGGTTTTTTTGCAGTGCGGGAGCTCTTACTCATGAATTCTAGGCTAGCGGGCTGTTACTGAGCTTGGCTTGATGGATCAAAGCCAGCACAGAGGAAAGAGGAGTCCTGTTATCTAAATTTCATGCACTCAAAAATAACTTCTCAGATACACAAGATCTGTCCCGTTCCTGGACTTGAAAATGTTCTCAATGCAGAGACTGACAGGAATGTAATTTTCCCCCTGCCTTAGGTTTTCTGCATTTTTCCTGAATTTCTATGTTTGAGTCTTTGTGGGGTTTGCCTGGAAACATTATGGGAAAATTCTTTGTTGCCACAGAATTAGGTGAGATTAAGTCTCAATTTCTCATACATATCATGATATAACAACACAGTCAATGTTTTCACTTGAAGCAGAGAAAAGTGCGAATAAAACGTTTCAAAAATTAAAAATAGTTTTAAAAAGGCACCTGACTCCTTTATGAGAGCAATAGATCACCTTTGAGCTGCCTTTACCTTTCCCACATCCTTAGCACATACGTGCAAAAATGTGCACAAGTGTACACATACACAGGTGCACACATACACCCCTGCCCCAAATTTAGCATCAGTGTCTACTTATTGAATAACTGCATGAGAAAATAATTCAAAACACACTACATGATTTTAAATCACCTATCAATCAATGTATATCAATCAGTTGGTATAAAAAAAGAAAAATTTGTGAACTGTAGTACTATCTTAAAAAATCTAATTCAGAAACCGTAAGGCTGATTAAAAATATTTTACTGACTGTGCAACTGTACTATGCGGACCCATTCCACGGTTTTCAGGCTCTGATAACTTTCTCTGGAGTTTTCTGCATTTTCATCTTTGTTCCTCTCTCACCTGACTTTTCTGAGGCACCTTCGGCCAGTTAGAGCACAGAAAACACACACTGAAAAAAGTAAAGTATCATGGACAAACTGGATGTGTATGCGGTTATGCATCCCGGGTCCACCTTAATTTGTAGTTATTAAAGTTTATCGATTACAGGTTAATGGGGAGTAAAATAGAAATATTAAATATGGAGATAAGTCAGAGGACTTTATACTTACCATTACAAAAGGCAAGAGAAACAGAAAATACAGGACACACATTTTCTCCATCCTTACTGCTCAGACAAAATACTTGTAAATCAACCTGCAATGTAAAATGAAAGAAATAAAAATTTTATCAATATTTATGAAATAAGTGGAGATGGTCCTCAAAAAATTTCTTTTGTAGCTATATAATAATTTTATTTCAAAATTAATAGCATTGAATATTACAAAAATGTCAGATTATCAAAGATTAAAGTACTAAAGAGATTAAACATTTTTTAGGTTAATTACATTGGACTTATTTATAGGACTACTTCTTTTACATATATTTTTGAGTAATTAAAAAACACCCTATTTTTGGTAGTGTTTTTACTAAAACTGGGGTGAAATGATTAGAGTATTAAAACTAAACGCTTGCCGGACTTGGTGGCTCACGTCTGTAATCCCAGCACTTGGGAGGCTGAGGTGGGAGGATCGTTGCGAGTTCGAGACCAGCCTGGGCTACAAAGTGAGCTCAAGGCCAGCCTGAACTGTATAGCGAGACTCCGTCTCAAAAAGACAAAAAACCAAAAAAAAACCAAAAAAACTGGATGCTTTAAGTGAGCATCATAACACAAATCTTGGTAACATATTTTGCTGTGAAATTTATCTTCATTTCCTGTAAGTGTTGCTAATTTGTAATCATTTGTAATTCTTGGGACAGTTTCTAGAGAATCAACATAACTACACCATAAAAATGTTCTTATAATTTAATAACAATAATTTTTACAGCAGGAAGCTCTTTTTAAATCAGGAAATAAATGCTTTTATAAGCCATCAACATTATTTATATAAGGTCACAGGAGATGACAAATATCAAATCAGGTATTTCTAGTGGTAAGCACCCTCGCAACTCAACAATGAACTCTCTGACACCATCCACCACCTTAATTCTAAGAGGTAAACACCGCTGGGTTGAAATTCCTACTATTTACTTTCCATAAAATGTTCAGGAGTACAGTATGTGAACTCCCATGAAATAACCATAGAATGTACTATTCGTTCAATCGAATATGCAAAAACTGTCTTTCAAAAGCAATCAAAAACAAAAACAAAAACGCTCAACAGATTCTTGACATTGAATTCTGAGCTTAGATTTGATTCTCTCAGGGAACTTACACATGATTTTTGCTATTAGGCTTTTGTCCAAGTAAGAAGTGTCAAAGCCTTTTCCCACACGGTCACATTTCATTTATTGTTTGTAATCCCATGCAAGAAGAGCACCCAACTGATTAGCACATAGAATCTCTGTTGCACCAGTCTCACCAAGACTCACCCAGAAGCTGTGTCCTTGTGAGTTGTAGCAATCTTCTTGGATATGGTTTTCTCTTCTCTTAGCTGTCTTGGGTTTTTATTATTAGGTGATCTTAAGAAGTACATAGCAAAAAAAAAAAAAATCAGGAAGCACTGCATACATCTTAAATATTAAAAATAAGGTTGTAACAGATAAAATTAAGACCTAATGCTTTAGTTTTTATTACATTTTACCATGAAAAGATCTAATTTCCCAGTACTTACATGCACGATTGTCTCCAGACTCAAATCACATTTTCTCTTGGATCATATCTGACATTGTCTTGAAGAATTTCTTAAAGTCAGGGGTCATGACCTAAAATATTGATGGATTTTATAGTTATGCAATTTATCAATGATAAAATTATTTCCATGTACACACTCCTACTGTGATATTTTATCAAACTACTGTTTTAGGTTCTTTTTTTGCAATATAGTTAATGTAGCATATTCACTGCATGTTTCAATATGAATCATAGATATATAAAATGAAAACATTTGGCATGGAAATGTATATATATTTTCTGCAAGTTAATGATTTTAAAGCATGATTATGCTGTTTTTAAAATAATGACTCATTGATGGCATTTTCATTATTCCTCTTTTCATAGAATTGCGAAAACTTTGTTTTCAGGCATTTATAATGTAGATAAGTACGTCTAAATTTATTGTATCTATAGCTATGTAATTCTAAATCATAGTGCCTTTAAAAATAAATTTTAGGGAGAATTTAATTGTCATCCAGAATTAAGAGAAAGACCAAAGAAAAGATTTCTTTTGTTTTATTTTACTTTTTGTTTCTTTTGCATACATTTTTAAGAGTGTGAATACAACCTTACTCTAAAATGTTCCTTTTTGTGTTAGTGATAACTTAATTTCTCTACCTTCAGTTGTTAGAGTGACAGCTTTCAGTGCTGTCATTGTTTGGATATTGTATCAAGAGGAATTGACTGATCTGAATTTGGAACATATGAAGATTAAGGCAAATTTAAAACATGGCTAGGTCATACTGCAAATATTGACATTTCATGTTTTTCTGTATAAAATGTATAGGTATATTTACATATATAAATAAGAACATAAATATTATTCTATTTGGAAATCAGATAAGTTTCACAAAACAATGCTTTGATGACTTTCACAATGCAGGATTCAATTACTTTCCATATGTACATGGCCTCCAAAAAAACTGAAGGGGAAAGTACTTCAAATACCATGTTTGGAAGTTTTCCAAACTCAGTGTATTTGAGAAACACTTTGCCCAACATTGCTGTTATTTTTATTGCTTATCTATTAGATCTGAAACTCAGCATTTCACACACTATCTTGGTGAAATATGTCTTGCAGCTTACTAAATCAGCCTAGCACCAGTTACTGAAAAGTTTATTCAACCCACAAAATATTTATCAATGCAAAAACATGATTTCTTTATTCCTCAGTGAGGTGGAAAATGTCAGATTTTGTGCTGTGTACTATCTTGTAATTGATGAGAGTATAGAGCTCTGGGTTTCTCAAGGTTAGAGACACAAGTCTAAATGACAGTCACTCAAACACACTGTCCAAGAATTGAGCAATGTCTAATGTATTGGGTGATTCAGTTCACTTGCTTATTACTCTGTATGACATCTGGCAAAGTTTTCTACCAGAATACACAAGTGATGAGTGGCATTTATGGTGGAATCACCTTTTCACCAAAAGTATTGGTAAATGTAATGACAAGACTGTTCAGAGAGAAGCATGTCTAGCTGTATGTCTTGGTGGAACTCACTGGCTCTTTACAGAGTCCTCTTACTGGCTCATTTGCAGGTGGTCCTCTCTTCTATATTTAGTTATTCCAAACTGAGCTTGGCTAAAATACATTAGATATGAACTGGTTAAAGCTGTTATAAAAATCATTTTTAATATCCTTTGAATTTTAAAGTTATTACTGATGACAGCGAGTTATTTTGTGAAATATGGTGGTGCTCTTTTAATTTGGGGAAGCGACCAAATAATAATGGAAGGAGGTTAAGTGGCATGATTAGTGTGCTAAAGTTTGTACAGTAGGGTAAAGACATTCAGAGACGAAAAAGTTCTGATTGATACTCTTAAGTTGTTAGTAATCGCTGGTATTACTAGTAGTCACTAACACTTTCTCTTACTAGTTAATAGTGTCATGGATACTGTAAGTATTATTTTATATTCTCAAAATTAAAGTGGAAAATTTGGTTCTATTATTATAAATGAAATAATTACCGTAAAAATAGAATAAAGTATTGTAATTTCCAAATAATTTTCTTACACCATATCTTCAATATTAAAACTTTTACATGATTTATTTCACCACAGAGAGAACTTTCAGAAGCTAAGACTGTGTTAATAATGCAAGTAACTTTTGAAGTAGGGTTGACTAGAATTAGAAATAAAAGTCAGTGTTATAGTGCATAGCATGAGAAAGACTCTTGGTTCAATTCCCTGACAACACATAACCAAGCACTTGCACACTCATGCACAAACACACATTCACCGAGGTTACTTGAAATATGGCTGCCTAGTCACTGAGGACTATGTCATTTATCATGTGGTTTTGTTTCCTAAAACCATCAAAGATTCATCTTACAATACAACATTTCATGTATCTGTATTTTAATTGCATAAATTTAAGAGAACTAATGTCTTTGTCTACTGCAATGGAAAAGCATTAGTCTGTCATTTCTTTCTCTGTTGAACGTAAAGACAGTTAGTAGCTGGCAATGATAATTATATCAATGATAAATTTTATTCTACTTAAAATTAGAATCTTGTTAGCACACGAAAAGATGAAACCTTGCAACCTATGGCATAAAGCCTGCCTTACATTTATTGTTTCTCAAAAATTTATCATAGCTTTGTGTACCTTATATCAATTTATTTTTCTTTATAATAATTTTTGAGTTATCTCGTCCTAGTATGAAATAATATTTCTCTTCACTATTAAAAGAAAATAGCTTTCACCTGCTTCTTCATTTATGAAATACAAATATTTCTTTTTAAATGACCTACCCATTTAACAAACTTTCAGACTTACAATTTATGCACACTGTTCACACTCATGATCTGCCACTTGGATGAATGACCTATCCTTCTTTTGCACACTCATGTATTTTCTGTTTATAGAGTCTCAGTGAGTTTTTTTGCTTATAGAACTGTAATTTTTGCTGACTGTACCGTACAGTATAGCACTGTAGTTTTCTGTGCTTATACATTACAGTACTGTGAGTTATGAAAATAAAAACAAAATCATCAAGCTGGAATTGCCTTTGACCACTTCTTTGTTCTGAATATTATTATGTACAGACTGCTGTATATACAGTTTCTCATTTAGTAACCAATTCATTTAACAACCTAGTCACAGGTGTGGAACACAAGTCATCACAGAAGGAATGCCTCTTAGATTTTTATAGGCTCTAAACCAAATTGTTTATTTCCAGCTATTTATCCAGTCAATTCCTATGAATGCAGTGCCTAGTTTGCCATAAAGTATGCAGAATCTAGGAGAGAGCCAAGAGGAGCTGTGTCTCTGCATATTAAACAAGATACACTCCTCCTGAATCAAAGAGTAAGCCCTCTTTCCTAATCTCCCTATTCCACACCTGCGTGGGCTAAAGGGAAACTTGTTGCTTCATTCTACACAATCTGTTACAGATTCTATTACTGAAAAAAAAATGTCAAAGTACTGGAGCCGGGCCACTTTTTATTTTCTCCTCCCTTCCTATTTCCAGCAAAATCTGTACCGTTGTATTCTAAGTATCATTGCAAGTTCTCATGTGTCTTTGCTTCCAACAGAGAAAGAAAGGACAGGTTAAGATTTTAATGTCCTCCAAATCTGTGTCAGAAAGTCCCTTACATTTTCAAGAAAACCAAAATATAAAGAGGCTTCTCTTTCTACATATGTATTACCGATATAAGAAACACAAACTATGCATCCTTTTAAAAGTGATGCCTGGAGTTGGCAGAGTTTTAAGCTAAGCCAGTGCTCCTCAAAATTTAGAAAGCAGGGCTACCTGGATGAGAATTACTGACAAATCTTCCTGACGACGTTAAAATGGCCACAACCTACCAAAAAAATGGATCAGAATCTTTGGAAATCTGTCTTTTTATTAAATGCTCAAGAAAATCCTTGGTCTGTCCAATTTGGAGAAGTAGGACATGAATATATCATCCTCAGTGGGCCTTGCCGAAACCCGAGTACACTTATAATTCTCTGTTCTTAACATTAGCCAGACCACTCTAAAAAAAAGAAATATCAAGTAGAAACCAAGAAAAATATTCTAAAATATCCCCAGGAATAATTAATGTCCCAGAGAAAATTATTCAAATATCCACTTGAAAACACATACAGTTCTGTGATTACTGCTTCATGTGTCTGTTTGCGCCAGTAGATGAAGACAGGAAGAATAAATAGTGGATGACGTGTGGTCCGTCTCTGTGGCTTTGAATCATAACAAAGTGACCATATAAGGAGAACATAGGAAAAGTGGTTTTTAAATACAGTAACCACCAGATTATTCACAAAATTAATTTAATTCATTTGCATAAACATGATTTTTTTAGGTGGTCTTAATACTGCCATATATTATTTTTTGAGTCATTAAGGAAACCATTGCTTAGGTTCTGCACCAAGAATTTCTGATTCCTCTTGATTGGTGTCCAGGAATAAGCAATCTTCAAGTTTCATTTGTGATTTCAATCTATAGTTGGCTTAGGAGGTGGGGTGTATCTCAGTGGTAAAGTGTTTGCCTATAACGCACAAGGCCCTGAGTTCAATCCCCAGTGCCACCAAAACAAAACAGAAACAAACTCCTACACATAGCAATCTACGTTTGGCTTGAGAACGAGTGTTATAGACTAGTGGAATATATAACAGGTGGAATAGTGAATATTCTAATACCTCTATGTCCTGTTCCACAGCATTTGTGATTACAGAAGCCATTAAGTAGGAAGATTATCCTAGATCAGCTTGTTTTATGGAAATAAGCCCAGTGGAACTCCTTGAGCACTTCAAAGTGGAGGAAAAAAAAGATGTAATTAGCAGTAGGGATGCAGCAGGGAAAGAGGAAGCAGAAAAGAAGAGGAAAACACAAGAGAGTTGACCCACTATTGCTGGTCCATCATGTAGGAATGCACATGCAAAGCTTGGAATGAAGCCTCAAGATTCAAAATGACCCACAGCCCAGCAGCCAGCAAGTCCTACAACCACAAGGACTGAGTTCTGCCAGCACCAAGCAGAATCTCCCACTAGATCCTCCAAAAGACAACCAAGCTCTTCCAGCACTTTGATTTTGGCCTGGTCACACT